GTGAATGGATACCTTTGCAGGAATTTTGTCAACTATTAAACCAGGCATAATGTGGCTGGAGCGATAGCACAGCAGTAGGGCATTTGCCTTGCATGCTGCCGGCCGGGCTGACCCAGGTTCAATTCCTCCGCCCCTTTCGGAAAGCCCGGCAATCTACCGAGAGTATCTCACCTGCATGGCAAAGCCTGGCAAGCTACCCGTGACGTATTTGATATGCCAAAGACAGTAACAACAAGTCTCACAATGGAGACATTACTGGGCTTGCTAGAGCAAAATTGATGAACAACAGGAGGACAGTGCATTACTTTTTAATTTTAATTTTTTTTGCTTTTTGGGTCACACCTGGCAATGCTCAGGGGTTACTCCTGGCTCACGCACTCAGAAATTACTCCTGGTGGTGCTCGGGGAATCATATGGGGATGCTGGGAATTGAACCCGGGTCGGCCGCGTGCAAGACAAATGCCCTCCCCATTGTGCTATAGCTCCAGCTCCAGATATCTTTATTTGGGGGGAGTTAACATTCAAAATTTAAAAATAAACTCCAGCTAATGAATAAGATAAAATTGACCCACCAAAAGAAATGTTGTCCCTGTTAGGTTGTTCACAGCATATAAAACCCCAAACAACTAACACATTTAAGATACTCAGCCCCACTATTAATTAGAAAACAATCTATTAAATACAATGAGGGGGGCTGGTGATCCAAAAAGCAAAAATAAATAAATAAATAAATCCAATGGGAACTGGGGAGAAATTATTGAAGTGAAGGCACCTAACTTAAGTGCCTACTGCCCTCTGTAACTTGGTCACTGGTACCCGGTCCTGAGCAGAATCGGGTGTGGCCCTCGGGTCTCTGAGCATCACCGCACAGCCCTTACAGGCCTCACTGGGGGTGCTGCCTGGACCCCTAGGTGATGTTTGGGAGCCCCAATTTGAGAGAGAGAGAGAGAGAGAGAGAGAGAGAGCATTTCATTCATAAGACCAATGAGTGGCCTCTCTGGCTCCCTTCTGCACAGGTGAGCCTCCCCCTGCCCATGGCACCTGCTGTCCTGCTCCTGCTCCCTTGCTAAGGGGCTGGTTCTGGAGCAGTTCCTTGAGGAAGTGCTCCAGGAGTCCTTCTGCTATTTGTTTGGGTTTTGGACCATGCCCATCGGTACTTGGGGGCCCTTCCCAGCTGGTGTTGGGGGTGTTCCCATCAGTTTTCTAGTGTTAGGGATCAAACGTGGGCCTCTCAGCCCATTGAGCCATCTCCCCAGCCTCAGGCTACTCAAGCATGCCTCCTCTTTCTCCTGGGACTCTGCTGATACATGTCTGAGCCCACAAAACCCACTTTTTTTGCTGTTCCTCGACATCCCCTTCAGTGTGCAGGGAGAGGGATCCGGGAACATTGCTTGCAGTCCTCTAACTGGAAACAATAAGATATATTCCATGGTATATTGTGTCTGTCCCTGGGAGAAAGACAGTAACAAGTGGGGAAGGATAAACTCGGAGGTGCCCCCTCATCTTCTCTGGATGTCCAAAACCAAATGCACAAAGAGGAAAATAAAGAGTGCTGGAGAGGCTGCTGATCCCTCCCTGTGCCTGTGGTGAGGTGAAATTTAGCAGCTTCTGTGGGAACCCTCAGCAATTGCTCCAAAATTGAAAATAGGGGCCTGAGAGCTAGTACATCAGTTAGGTGCAGGCCTTGCACACGACTGACCCCAGTTTGAGTCCCAGCACCCCATAGGGTCCCTCAAGCCCATCAGGAGTGATCTCTGAGCACAGAACTAGAAGCAAGCCCTGAGCACCACCAGATGTGGCTCAAAATCCCAAAACCAAAAAGAACCCATGGCCCAGAAATTCTGCTTCTGGGGATCAAAAGTCTGGTCTCAAAGAGAGATTTCCCCCAATGAACTGGATGTGTGTGTCCTCTGGGACCGTGGGATATGTTGCTCCACCTGGCACTGGGCAGGGTTGGGTCTCCCCTGTTCACACCCACCTGTGTCTCTAGCTAAGGTGGCTTCCTTAGCTAGAGGACAGGATGATGCCAGCGGACAAGCACGGAGATGCAGGGAGCGCTGCAGGCTTCCGGCCCAGCCTCTGCCCCTGCGGTTTGGGGGGAGCTCGCTTTCACTATCCAGTGGGATGCATGGCCTCCTGTAGGCCCCCGTCAGCTCCTCAATCTTCCAGATCCTCTTCCTCTTCATCCGGTTACACTTAACTCCTGCTTGACTGTGTAATCCATCCAGAGGGGCCCTTCCTGACCAGTGTTGTCACCCTCTCTGGGGCTGTGGCCTGGCGCTGCCTCAGGTTGGTTTGATCCTCAGCACCCCATAGGGTCCCCCAAACCCTTTCTCTGTAGCCTGAGATGGGGAGAACCCGGCATTTCTTTCACTTGTTCATCGGTCTCCAGAGCCCGTGGTAGGCACAGACTGGTGAGAGGGCTCACAGGTGCCACCGCCCTGTGCCACCGCCCTCCTTACCCTTCTACCTTTCCACGCACATCTGCATCCTAAGTACACTCTTTGTTTTGCTTTTGGGTCACATCTGGCGGAGCTCAGGACTTAGTCCTGGCTCTGTGTTCAGGGATCACTCCTGGCAGGTGCCAGGGACCCTCTGAGTCGCTGGGATGGAACCCGAGTCAGCTGCATGCCTTATGTACTGTGCTCTCTCTCCGCCCTGCATCTTGAAGACTTTGTGGGGGGACACATCAGGTGATGTTCAGGGGTTATTCCTGGCTCTGCTCTCGAGGGACCATATGGAAAGCCAGGGATTAAGCCGAGGTTGGCCACATGCAAGGCAAGGGCTATCTCTCCAGCCAGCCCTTGAATACTTTTAATCCTTTCCAGGGCTTGCTGTGTGGCCTCTTTGGATATTTGGGGACTTCTTTCTCCTTTGCCCAAGAGACTAATATAGTGACAGTCCCCTCAGGAGACTCAAAAGATACTGGAAGGAGAAATAAAAAGGGATGAATGACATAAAAGCCACACCGAGTATGCTGTGCCCACACTGGGGTACCCAGGAGTGTCGGTGGAGCCCTCAGGTGGGTTGAGAGCCTCCTGGAGCAGGTGACAGTTGCTCTTGGTCCTGGAGTCTAGCTCAGTGTTTGCCAGGAGCAAATTCCTTAGCATTTGAGACCTGCATTTGCAAAAGAGTAAAAAAGTCCTGAGTGATGAAAACTTGTAGTGGCTGAGCAGGTACGGGGAGTGCGGGTAGCGGGAGGGGTGGCAAGAGGCGGCTCAGGGACAGACGCAGGGGGCAGGCAGGGGGATCCCAACCATAGAGGAGGGGTCGCTCCATCTTCACACCGGAAGACATCACTTTATACATAGTGACTACATATGTTTCTTTTTAAAAAGCAGACTATATATATACATGTATACGCATGTCTTCGGCTCACCCAGGTGCCACTGCGTGGGGAGAAAGGAGCGTTAGGGGTGCTGAAGTGGGAGGTGCCAGCGCAACCCCCGGTCAAAAGACTTGAGTCTGGGCAGCGGGAAGGGGCTGCTTTGGGGGGGCTGCGGGGAAGCGCCTCCCCAGGAGAGGCCGCGCCAACTCATGGGGTCCCGGCGAGACCCGTCAGGGCAGGAGCTGGGCAGGAGAGCCCGCGAGTTCCGGGGGCAGGTGGCCACCTGCAGGCGCGCACCTTGGACTCGGGGCTCGCCACGTCCCCGCAGGTGAGGGGCCGGACCCGGGCAACGGGGCCCCCGGCGTCCGGTGTCCGCCCCGCCTCCACCAGGTCGGGGCAGCTCGACTCCCCGAATCCCCGGTCCGGCCACTTCCCGCCTCAGTTTCCCCAGCCGCGCGCCGAGGCCGGCCTGCGACTTGCGGAGGCCACGGCACGGCCGTGGCGGCGGGACGAGCGCAGCGGCCGGGGCCGGGGCGGCCGGCGAGGCGCCGGGACCCGCCTCTCCCGCTGGCCTCGCCGGGACGGGCGGGCGCGGCCCCCGGCGCCCCCGGGGCCCCCGCGGCTCGGGCTCCGGCCGCGCGGCAGCGGCCGGCACAAAAGCGGCGACGCGGCGGGCGGGCCGGGGTGCGCCGGCGGCCGGCGCCGCTCGCGGGGCGGCCGCGCCTTCGGCTCCGCGCCGAGCGCGCTCGGCTCTTTCCGCCGCGGCCGGCGCAGGTGGAGGGGGCGGGGCGGGGGCCGTGCGTGGTGACGCCGCGGGGGGGTGACGCACCGGCGTGCCCCGCCCCCTCCCCCTCCCCGTTCAGGCTCTGGAAAGAGAAGAAAAAAAACTTTCTTTTTTTTTTAATTGAGGAATCAACAGCCGCCATCTTGTCGCGGACCCGACCGGGGCTTCGAGCGCGATCTACTCGGCCCCGCCGGTCCCGGGCCCCTCGGCCGCCCGCGCACCCCGCTCCGCCCGGCCGGCCCGCTCCGCCCGGCCCTCGGCGCCCGCTCCGGCGGCCCCGCTCGCCTCTCGGCTCGGCCTCCCGGAGCCGCGGCGGCGGCGGCGGCGGCGGCGGCGGCGGCAGCGGCGGCGGCGGCGGCGGAACGGGGGGTGGGGGGGCGGCGGCGGCGGCGGCGACCGCGCCGGGCGCCGGCTCTCGCGTCGGGGCGGCGGCGGGCCGCGGGCGGGCGGCGGAGCCCGGCGCCCCCCGGTCGTCGGGCCGCGGGCGGGTTCATTAAGTGGGGCGCGGGGGGAGCGCGGCGGCGGCGGCGGCGGCGGCGCGGCGGCGGCGGCACCATGTTCCCGGGCGCCGCCTGAGCCGCCCGGCCCGGCGCCGTCGCTCGCCAGCCGGGCCCGGGGGCGGCCGGCGGCCGGGCGCCCCGCCGCGGAGCGTCGCTCGGAGGCGGGCAGGGGATGAGGGGGCCGCGGCCGGCGGCGGCGGCGGCGGCCGGGGGCGGCCGGTGAGCGCTGCGGGGCGCTGTTGCTGTGGCTGAGATTTGGCCGCCGCCTCCCCCACCCGGCCCGCGCCCTCCCTCGCCGGCTCGCGGCCCCGCGCCTCGCGCCCGCGCTCCGGCCTCGCCGCCGCCGCCGGCCCGCCGCCCGCCGCCCCCCGCGCCCGCGCCCGCGCCGCCGCCGCCGAAGATGGCCGAGAACTTGCTGGACGGCCCGCCCAACCCCAAGCGGGCCAAACTCAGTTCGCCCGGCTTCCCGGCGAGTGACAGCACAGGTGAGGCGGCGCGGGCGCGGCTGTCAGGGCCGGCGGCGGGGCGGCCGCGGGCGGCGGGGCGGCGGGGCGGCGCGGCGGCGCGGCGGCGCGGCCCGCGGCCGGCCCCGAGAGTTGGAACTTGGAAGTTTCTTGGCCCGCGTCCCTCGGGCGAACGCCGCCCCGGGCCGCGGCGGGCGCGGCGGGTCGCGCGGCCCGAGCCGGCGGCCGCGCCGGGCCGGGCCGGGCCGGGCCGGGCCGGGCGGGGAGGGGAGTTGGGACGGCGCGTGCCGGCAGGGCCGCCGCCGGACGGAAGAAGGAGGGTTCTTTTCCCCCTTTTCCCGAAAACTACTTTATTTTAGGCAGGAGACGGACTGAGCTGTTCTTAAAAAAAAAATCATCCCCCCGCCCCCTCGTAGCTCGGCCTCCCCGAAAACTGCCTCTGCAGACCGGTTGCCCGAGAGAAGTGCCTCAATTCTCGGCTCGCCCGCCCGCCCCAAGTTCCCGGGCCGGCCCGTGCACGGCGGCGTCGGGAACTAGTTGTATTTCCTCTTCGAAGCCGGCCCTGGCATCGGGAAGGACACTGGGGTCCCCGGCAGAGCTCGCATTTCTCCAGTCCGGCTTGGAGTAGCAGCATCTGAAAATCAGTTTATAATGAATGGGCCCCAATTGAATTACATCGCTGTGGCGGAGCCTTCGGCTGCAGGCGGGCAGCTGTGCCGCCGTTCCTGGGACTGACCGCTGGCATGTTTTTGCTCGTGGTCAAAAGCCCATTTGTGCGCCTGGAACAACGCAGAATTTGTAGCTTCGGTTTTAATAATGTACTGGCCTCTAGACTGTTATTTAATGTAGAAGTGAGAGGAGCGACTAAGAAAATAAATGTTGGGACCCCCCCTCCCACCCCGACCCCAGGGCCACACCCAGCAGCAGGGCTGGGGGTGGGCTGGGTCATGCTTTCCCCTACATGCAACCCAGGGCTTTGCGCGTGAAAGGCATGTACTCTGCCACTTGAGTTACATCCCAAAGCGTGGGAAATGATTTTTTAAAAAGTTGTCATTGGGAGGTCCTTGTCTCTGGTTAGAGTAAAAGTTGTTAAATGGTAGGAGTTACTAAAACTTGTGGACTACACAGCTCACTGCTGATTCTCGAACTGATAAAGTTGTTTAATGCTGGTTTTGTAAAATAACTTTGTTGGCTACGAGAAAAGTAGAAACAGCCACGATTTAACTGCCCTTTTACTGAAGAACAGATCTTCCTTGCTTCATCTTGCCACGTTTGAATGAGAAGTCTTGAATAATATAAACGGTAGAGTGGTCAAGTCAGTGGAAGCTTGTCCTCCGAAGCTGGTAACTTTCTGAATGGCTTTGCCAGGGTTAGTTGGTAAAGGGCATTATTGTAGCTTTTGTTTTATATAGAGGGACAAATGGGTAACACAAGGTTTAATAAAAGGCTTGTCCTGTTGTATGCATTCAGCACTTTCCAAATGGAGCCCCTCGGATGCTGACCTTTTTGAGTAGTTCTGTTTTCCAGTGGTCAGGTACTTATCAGTAACTTCGCTGCTAATCACAGCAAAGTTCTCAGGAAGAATTTCCTGCTCTGGACCACTTTTTTACCCTTCCTTTTCAGGGTTTTTCTATCCTTGTGAGGTACAGAGTTTTTACCTTTCCAAGTGTAGAACAAAATTGTCAGTTTTAAAGTAGCTCTGATTAAAGAAAATCAAAGAATAAAATTTAGAGACAGAACAGGATGGTCAGATGTGTGCTTTGCATACGCAGCTGACCCCTGTCCCGTCCCTGGCACCACATGGTCCATCACACCCCTTTGGGAGAGGAACCTGAGTGCTGAGCCAGGAGTTAGCCCCTGAGAACCACCAGGTGTAGCCCAGAATCTACGGAGAGAAAAAAAGAAAATGATGAAATTTACTACCATATTTAAGTTCAGGGCCTTGGTTACCTATTCATCGGTCACATCACCTCTCCGTGAAAGGATCTGTGTGTGTGTGTGTGTGTGTGTGTGTGTGTGTTGGTAAAGAAGGAATCATTGTCAAACCCACGAAACAAGGTGCAGCCTCGTTTCTGTGACTAGTGTAAGGCAAGGATCAGAAGGCCACCAAGCAGAAAGGGACTAAATATACTAGTCAAAGGAATGAAGGCTCTTGGATAGAATGGAAAGTGGGGAAAGAACTGTGAATAAATTCATTAACATATGAGCCTTGTTTTCTGAAGGGGGGGGCGGGTGTTTTGAGACTTCTAGTAGGAAATCGGGCAGGTGTTCCCTCACCCATGTGTTATCCTTTGAGGAAGGAGAGCTCCATGCCAGGGAAGAGGTGAAGGTGAGCAGGGCAGGTAGAAAGGGTGGGCAGAGGCCTCAGCGCACATCTGTATGGACTTACAGAGAGCTTGGTGTATCTTAGCCAGCCCCCTCTCAGGGACCTCTCTCAGCAGGCTGACAAAGACAGCTGATGCTGGGATGCTCATCAACCAGGGCAGCCTGGCCGGAGAGTGGAAAGGTGGCCACCTCAGGTGCCTGGAGAGCGTGCCGCAGCATGGTGGCCGGAGGAAGAGAGCTGTACTTCCATCCATCACAGCTAAAAGCCGGCGGTGCAGTGGCAGAGTGTGATGGTGCCAGAAAACGTTCGGCATTTTCTTGTTGGTCCTTAAACCCTTAACCGTAACCACTCACTTTTGCTTATGAATGCACCTCTTGGCACTCCTTTTTCTTGACCACACCTGGTGGTGCTCAGGAATCACACAGGATGCTGAGGATGGAACCGTGTTGGCAGCAGGCAAGCAAAGTGCCCCACCTGTCCTATCGCTCCAGCCATCTTGGCACTTCTTAAATGGAGCAGGACTTTGAGTTAACCAGTGTAGTTAGTTGTGTGTTTTGGAAACTTTATTTAATATGCCCAAGTTAAAACAGCTTAGTAGTGCCTTCTGACAGTGGGAATTCTGATTCTACAGTGTAGAGGAAGACATGGCAGGGCAGGCAGTAAGTCTCGTGGAGAAGGGTAGTGTGAGGCTTGAGCTCTTTGAAGTTCAAGATTACAGCAGATTGCCTATTTAGACAAGTTTTGAAGACCACCTTCCAAGTTGCCACAGGTATATTTCATCATGATGGTGTGCATGTCCCTGAGCAGTTGATGGCATGAATCCCTTTGCATGCAGGCGGCATTCTTGTGTGAGTGAAGCTGATAGCTGTAGTCGCCGCCAAACCACCCTTTCTGGAGAAGTGGTGGTCTGTGTGTCTGTGCTGTGCCCTTTCTCCCTTGGAGCCCCCAGGATGCTGGGCGGTGGGTGAGAAGGCAGGCATGAAGAGGGGGTCTTCCCAAAGCAGCTTGAGCAAGGGAGCCTCAAATAACAGTGCGGGGTGGGGTTGAGACAGGTTTGTTTCTCCAGGGTCGGTCCCGTCTTCCCACTTACTGCAGTGGATAATTGAGGATCATCAGTACGTTTCAGTTTAGCTTTTGGCTAAATAGGAGTTTTTGTAGAGATTTCTGGGACTAGGGCTTTTCATGCATTTGCCTTGCTTTTGCTTGTTAGAAAGGAGGAACTTAAGTAGGCTGAGGGGGAAAGAAGGGTGACTCTATTTGAAACTCCTGGGTGCTGACTGTAGGCATGCGTCCTGCCCAGAGTGCCTTCCTGCAGTTAGAGGTAGAGACTCTTGGCGATCAGAGGAATTCTCTAATTCTCAAACATGAATGAATAGTGACATAGGGACAGAGCCGAAATCTTCCGGGCCAAAGTGTATGTTAGAATTTTGGTACTGCTTCTAGAACCTGTTGTTGTAGTTTGAGAGAGTCTGATCACTTGGTGCTATTGAAGTGCAGACTTTGTACCTTTACTTAGGGTGTTTGAGAACAAAATCGTTTCCAGCGACTTTTCTCAGAGGATGCTTGTCCTTGTTAAAGGTGAGGGAGCCTTGCTTTGAGTGGCTTGGGATTCGGAAAGCTTCCTTGAAGCCAGTCACGTTCTGGGGGCACCTGTGGCCAGGAGACCCGCTTCATCTCACGCACACCTGTGCTTTGCGCCTTCCCAGGTGCTCCTGGTTCTAGCTTGTCGGTTGCTCTCTCAGGCACTTCCCAGGAAGCGTGAGGGCATGCGAAGTGCTGCTCAGAGTTTTGTGTATAGATGTGACTGGTAATGGCAGAGAACCTTCTAGGACTTTCCTGAGCCTTTGTGTCTTAGAGGTTGTGAGCCTTGGTGGGAGGCTGTGGCTTGCGTATTCCAAAGCTCTTGGCGTGCAGAGTAGGGTCTGTCAGCTGTGAAGGGCCAGAATATGTGTGTTCAGCTTTGTGGGCCCCGTGGTCCCTGCTGCAGCTACCCGGTGACAGTATGGTGTCAAAGCTGTCGGAGACAGTGCAGCACAAATGTGTGCAGCTGGGGGCCAGGAAGGCTCCTCAAACTCTTGTACCCAAACCAGCAGCCAGGGAGTCGGGCCTCAAGACACTGAACGGCAGGCATCACTATGTCACGGGGACGCATGCGGAGTCCCATTCTGGCACATCCAGCTGCCACGGTCACTCCGGTCTGGGCATCCCTGAAGATCCCTCCAAGTTCCCTGAGCTGGTGGAAGCCAGAGCGTGGGGCTGCCGGACGGAGCTTCTGAGCGCTCACGGGAGCCCATCTTCCCCTTTCCTTCCTCTGCAGTTTCACGTGCTGTTTAACTTAAAACCAGTGAACTTTTCAGAGCCAGTTAACAAAGGTGATTGTCTCGCCTTTGCTCGTTATTTTACTCTCTGTGGCCCCCGTGAGCCCCGCGGTGTTTTCCTCTGCAGCGGCCTGAGAGGCCTTCTGGCTAACTCTCCCGCCCCGCTGGAGAGTGCCTGGGTGCTCTTGCCTCCAATCCTGACTCTCCTCTTCTTTTTCTTAGTGAGCACTGTAGCAGTATAGCACTGTCCTCCCGTTGTTCATCGATTTGCTCAAGTGGGCACCAGTAACGCCTCACAACAAAATGTGAGACTTGTTACTGTTTTTGGCATATTGAATATGTCACGGGGAGCTTGCCAGGCTTTGCCATGCGGGCAA